TAATATTTTTACAAAATGTGTTATTACGTTTTTCAGAAACTAAGTACTGTAGCTCATTGTGATTGTAGGTTTTGCTAGCTACTTCAGATTTCATTGTTTCTTTGGCATTGGATCAAGGACAGCAGTTTTAAAAGTTTTAAGGCTGCCACAGGGTCAAGGAGATATGTCTTATTTAAGGTCACTTAAATGTTGAAGAGCTTTCTTATTGTTTGCAGCAAGCTTTATCATTTGTGTTATAGATGCATTCAGTCTGTTAGGTCTCCGGTTTGCCTACTTAAGTCTGCTGCTGTTCACCAGTGTTATTCCCACAAGCTTACTAAAACCAGTACTTAATGGGATGCACCAGTTTGGTTGGAGCATACCTGCTGTGAACCCAAGGCAGCCTAATGATCCAGTTACCCTTGGTAATGATTCCAAGGTCTCATCTGATGGCCAGAGAGTTGTTAGCTTTCCCTATACTTTAACTGAGTCTTTCTCTAAGTAGTTATTGATAGTCCAGGCTGGCTCATATGATAGACAGGAGGCGACCACAGCTCACGTAGGTACATAGTTCCTAGTTCACACTAGCTAGTTCAGGTACTTGCAGGTCATCACAGTGCCAGACAGCTGGGGGTAAACCCCTGGGCTTTTAACAGAAGTTGAAGTCCATGCTGACATGGCTACCCTGCTCTCAGTAACCTGCTGGTTAGTTTTGATAGTTTACTTGGTACGTGGTACTGTGCTTTTTTAAATGGTGTGGTTCTTCATTACTGTTGGCAGACAAAGAACAAACAAGGAAGAAAGTTAACCTTTTCCCTGTCTCTCCTGCTAATCCCAGCCACGGTGAAAGGTTTGTGTTATGCTTCTGCACGTAGTTCTTCTCCAGAAGAAGGAACAGCATGAATTGCATCAGAATTGTGGGTCAGTCTGGTTGGATTTTTTCCTACTAAATAAAGTTTTGTTCAAGCGTCAGGCTGAGAGCTCAGGAAAGCTGGGAACCAAAGTCAAGGATGATTGTGGTAGGAACAAGGTTAAAAGGGGCATAGAAACTCCTGGAAGCTGGGCTCTGCTGGAGCAGGGGAACTTGCAGCGTTCTTCTCAATGAAATCCATTCTTTCCACTTCCCAGGGATCAGAAGCATTGCTTTTCAGTTACAGCTGGGTGGACAGACCAGTTGTCACTCTAGGCTAGACTTTGTGGTCAATGCAAATGCCCATTCATAAGGCATAGGGTTGGGTCACTGTTGTGCCACAGGTCTTAGGTACTTGAATTACCCTTTGGAACTGCTTGTCTTTTTTCGCATAGGGAACTTTTAAGGAATGAGACTTTGAAGTTAGGATGAATGAATCCAGATCATGGTGCTAGGCAGGCAAGTTCAGCATTGTAGATGAAGTTCCTGCCCCGTGATACTGTCTTTAAAGTGAATGTATGTATTTTAGAAATGTTGTTTCTAAAATATCAAGCTTATTTGATACTTTTGTAATTTGGTTTTCAGGAAATTTCCTGTGTGCTGATAGTTTACATGATATGGTTCTTAAGTCTGGAATAATTTTGTGAGCAAAAAGATTGCTTAATTACATCAGTGCTCCGAGGTACAAAGAAACAGTATTCAGAGTAACCTTGAAGATCTTTTGAAGTCACTAAAGGTGTAAGTAAGTGTATTTTAAGAAACAGGAAAAGAAAGACGGTTATACATACCCAGAGTAGTGCTTCTGATGCATCAGTAATTGTTGCCACAGAAAATGGATGTTCATGGTGTACTAGCTAGATAGGAAGTTAAGAGACTTAATAATAATATGATGGCGTAAGATGGGAAATACAGTTTGCCACCAAAGAACCTAAGCTTTAAATAAGAATCTTCCTACCTGACAAGCAAATCTTACTACTTGGTCTGGTTATTTATACATCCCTATTTACCATAAATGTAAGTTTCTTTAAAATTCTTGCCTTTTAGTGCCTTGCTGCTTTCTTGAGGTCTAACTGCTTATTTCACTTCTAAGCATTTATTACTTTGTTCTATCTGGCAATTTCAGTCTATAACACTTAATCCTTTTCCGAATCCTGAGTTAAAGGTAATGTGTGGTAATGTGTTCCATGAGTAGACGCAGGGTAATTGGAAGGAAGGTTTATTGCTTTTAAATTGACTTCTGGCTTGGTATCAATCATTATTTCTTGTCCTCTGTTCTGATGAAAAGTAAATAGCAGCCCACAGCATAGAGTTCATTTCATCAACTATTTAAATTTATGTTGTTGTGGTTTTATGTTATCTATATTGCAGTTGCCTTCACGTACACCAGTTAGGATTGGATGCAGTGCTGTTTAATTTGAAACTGAATGCAGAGAAATTATTTATTTCTCGAAATACTATGACACAAAATCTAGTCTATGTTGGTCTTTGCCCACGTCTGATAATTTGTATTGCTTGGATCTCAATTTCTGTCTTACTGAGATGGAAGGTTCCATATGTAACACATTATTCATAATACTAAATGCTACTAATGCATGTAGGGACATTACAGTATTTTGAAGATTGTTTCCAATTTGTTTGTCTCTTATTCTGCTTTTTGTAGGCATTTTCAATTATTTGGTCACAGGGATCTGCAGACCATTTTTCCCAGGGTTGTTTTAGAACGCAGTAATTCAGAAAAATATTTCATGTTCTTCTTTCAAATATAAGACATATAGGTATTAGGCTATTTTTTTGCTTACCAATACTAATATTCCTAGGCTAAAGTTATTCCGTGTGAATATCCCCTTTTAACATTCCTGTTTCCTCTATAATTCTAAAAAATAGCTCTCTGATTGTATAAGGCTTTAAGGAACCCTAACAAAAACTAAGCAATCTGAAGGTATTATTTCATATGAAAATTAACTGCCAAATATTTTTATTTTCTTATGTTTTCAAGCTGATAATTGAGAGCCATAATGGCAGACATAGGAGATGGGCCACATTTGAGGGAAGATCTGACGGATGCAAAATCTATTCCTGGTTCCAAAGGGTAAGTGAGGTATTTTTAGTTTAAGTCTTCAATTTAAGTCTTGAGGAATCTTGTGCTGTAGCAGAAGGCAAGAGCCATAGAAGAAAAAATGCTAAAAGTTTCAATTATGGTAAATTCTAATAATCATAAACAACTATTAAGGTTGTCGTACTGACTTTGAAACTATGCAGTCTCTGACAGAACGGGCTGTGTGTATCTACGAGATACTAAAAAGCAAAACATTTGAGGTGCATTTAGACTTGTGTGCTGGTTTGGGCTGGGACAGAGTTACTTTTCTTCACAGTAGCTGGTATGGGGCTATGTTTTGGATTTGTGCTGAAAATAGTGTTGATAGTACAGGGATGTTCTGGTTATTGCTGAGCAGTGCTTACACAGAGTCGAGGCCTTTTCTTCCTCTCACACCACCCCACCAGCAGGCAGGCTGGGGATGCACAAGAAGCTAGGAGGGGACACAGCTGGGACAGCTGACCCCAACTGACCAACTTAAAGGTTACCGAGTGGCAACCCTCCTGCTGTGGGCAGGGACACCTTCCACTAGACCAGGTTGCTCAAAGCCTCATCCAGCCTGGCCTTGAACACCTCCAGTAGGTGTTCCATCCAAATGGGGCATCCATCCAAAGAAGTTGTTGGGTTACAACTCAATCTTTAATGTCTCTTCCAACCCAAACCATTCTATGATTCTGTGGTCCACAAATTCTCAGGGAACATGTTCCAGTGTCTAACCACCCTCATAGTAAAAAATTTCTTCCTAATATTAATCTAAATCTATCCTCTTTCAGCTTAAAACCACTACCCCTTTTCCTCTCACTAGAATCCCTGATAAAGAGTGTCTCCTCATCTCTTCTGTAGGCCCCCTTTAAGTACTGGAAGGCTGCTGTAAGATCTCCCTGGAGCCTTCTCTTCTCCAGGCTGAACAACCCCAACTCTCTCAGCCTGTCCTGGTACGGGAGGTGCTCCAGCCCTTTGACCATCTTCATGGCCCTCCCCTGGACTTGCTCCAACAGGTCTATGTTCTTCTTATGCTGGGGGCCCCAGAGCTGGACGCAGTACTTCAGGTGGGGTCTCGAGCACAGAGTAGATAGGGAGAATCACCTCCCTCGACCTTCTTTTGATGCAGCACAGGATATGGTTGACTTTCTGGGCTGAAAGTGCACACTGCCAACTCGTATTCAGTTTTTCATCCACCAACGCCTCCAAATCCTTCTCCACAGGGCTGCTCTTAGTCCACTCATCACCCAGCCTTCATCCGTGTTTGGGGTTGCCCTGACCCATGTTCAGGACCTTGCACTTGTCTTTGTTGAACTTCATGGGGTTTGCACAGGCCTGCCTCTCAAGCTGGATGGCATCCCTTCCTTCTAGAGTATCAACCACACCACTCATTTTGGTGTCATCCACAAACTTGCTGAGGGAATTTCCAGGGAACAAGTAGCAAACCTTACTGGTTTCATTGGGTTTGCTATAATAACCTTATTATTGTTTTGAAACTAGAGAAGAGAGATCAGAAATTAACACCTGATTTCTATACAGAAAGAACCTATCTGCTAGCAAGTCTATGGACTCTGGAATTCTGCCAGACTACTGTTACAGAATGGATTATCCAGAGGTGGGGGAATGTATAATAATAAACAATAAGAACTTCCACAGACAGACAGGTACCACTTTCAAATTTTTAAGTTTTTTCCTTATTTCAGATAAATCTGCGTCATGTATTATTCTTCAAAATTAAATATGCAGACCAATTTTAATTGCAATCTAAAATTAAGTGGTTTGAATGGGTGTGATGCGTTTCAGTGCATTCTTCTAAATATTCATAGAGAGAACACGTTAGGGTATAGCAGTAATGGGTAGAAAAAATTATTGGCAGTACAAGTCCATCTTACCTTTTAGTCATGATTTCTGTTTTGTAAATGAAGTCCTTTTCTATGTCTTTAGATAGTTAGGTAGATATAAAAATAAGTAATGGGTAAATTACAGTATAGTTACAGAGAGAGAGGGAGATGGTGTGCATGTGTAACAGTGCAATGTTTTTTTCTGTTAAGAGTGGATCTGGAATAATAGAATAATATTCCAGACTTATACGTGTATAAGTGAGAAAAGTATTTGGCTCAATCAGACCATGCCATCTATATAATATAAAAATAATACATTTCTCTTATGTCTAGGGATGTTACCTCGTTCGGGTACAGATGCAGATGCTGCAAGTGTCAGAGAAGTTTTTATGAAGTTGGGCTATAAAATAAAGATCAACAATGATCTTTCATGCGGGGACATTTTTAAACTATTGAAAAATGGTAAGTAATAGTATGATCAGTATGTGTATTAAATCGACCAGTTTTCAAATACATCTCTAGCCCTCAAATATCTTCTCCCATGGTTCTTTTAGGTGATATTTCGCACCTACCGGTGGTTTATTGCTAAGGATGACATGTACATCATAGTTTCTATGTTTATTCGTCTTTGCTGTCTCCATCTTTTGTGCCATGACTGTTGTCTCCATATGCTTTCTCATCTTCTAAAGAAGGCTGGAAAAAAGGCAGAAACTTAGATGCAGACTAATTTATATTCTGACACCGGGATCACTGAAGCTCTGTGAGTTGGAAAGAAACCTGTTTAATTGGGTGGAGGGGTTCTGTGCTACATGCTTAGCGGTATGGCCCAAGAGGTGTTCTGATCTTGGGGGGAGGAAATTACTCTTTTAAAGAAGTAACTCATGTTTTGTTTGACTTGTGAAACAAAACACCCTTCTGTCAAGTGAGAGCTTTATACTACTGTTTATTTTAGTCATGCTTTGTTTGAACTTGGCTACTTCTAGCCCAGTAAATTAAAAGGTTCCTGGAGGTGTCTGTAGCCCTGGAACACAGTTTAGTCTATTTAACTGTTTGAAGGTTCTCTGGCATGACTGTGGCTCGTGCCTACTAGCAATCTCCCAGACTGTTCCAGGTCACAGTTCAACAGTAAAAGTGTTTCAGAGTCTATTCTCAACAGTCAGCCTGCAGCAATGGTGTTTGTTGCCTTTTTTTTCTTTTTAATGTAGGTGTTTGCTAACATAGTCGTAGGTTGTTTAGTGCCGGTTTATGTTTATACCAGAGAATGCTCCCAAGCTTGGTTATTAGTATAGTTGCAGTCTGTCTGTTGACAGTAGCTGAAAGTGGAAAGTCAGATTCTCTGACTCAAGGCCTGTCTTACCTTAAATAGACAGTGTAAGCTACAGACTGCAGCCTCACTAGAGATTGCCAAAAAACAGCCTTGCCTGACTTCTAAATGCAGTGCTTGTCCATAGATTATAGAAATGCCTGAGTGTGCATTGCTTGAGAAAAATCTAAATAGTTCAGTTTTTCCAGAATATAAATGGTTTTGACAAGCACTAAGCAGAAGACTTCAGCTTTTGGGACTGTTACACTTTTCATCTACAAACTCTTACATCTTCATGAGTTTTGCCCTCAAAATTCCTTTTGGATCCTTTCTTTTAAACCATGTTTGTATCTTTTCATGTATTTAAAAGAATCAGCTTGGTCCTCAAGTACAATCCCCACAATGTCAGGCAACAAAGGACATTGGCGAGTGTATGTTCTATGCTCTTTGCATTACCACAAGATGCAAAACCCCCATAAATCTACAAACACTTTATATCAAGCTTATATGTCTTTAAGTATAAAGTTCAGGGGCTTGAAACGTCTTTCTAGACCTTGCTACAGGGCAAGAGTAAGGGGAGTGGTAATGCTCGTACCTAGGTCCCTGCAGCAGCAACAACTTTCGTGCTGCATTCAGTTCCTATGTAATCCAGGTAGTTGAAGCACCTCTGACTGGAAAGAGAGGTAAGTCTTCTCCGTCCTTTCCCAAAATTCAGAACTTCATATCAGTGTGATCCCAGATCACGAGACAGTTGACCATTGGTGCATGAGCAAGGTGTACCATTCAGACTTTGAGACACTGTGGGAACACCCGCTTTGTCTCCTCATGGTGTTCCTGGCCTAGTTCTGTGGCCGTGTCTTAGAATGGGTAGGGTTGGCCTTTAATTTGGGGTTTTCTGTGTCCAGCCTCCTGCCATAAAGCAAGCTGTCTCCTTTTGTTCAGAAGTGAAAACTGGTTGAAGGTTTCTAAATGTGGGAATTACTTCTTAAAGACTTTTGTCACATGGGAAGCATCAAATGTTTGAAGCTTTTAGGGAATGCAAAAGTTAAGATAATTCTCTTTTTTGTTTCAAGTTTCTGAAGAAGATCACAGCAAGCGAAGCAGTTTTGTTTGTGTGCTGCTAAGCCATGGTGATGAAGGATTAATCTATGGTACAGATGGCCCTCTTGAACTGAAAGCACTAACAAGCCTTTTCAGAGGTGACAGGTGCAGAAGTTTAGCAGGAAAACCCAAGCTGTTTTTCATTCAGGTGATGTACAGCTAAATGATCATCAAATTAGCTGAATACTTAAAAGAAAAATTGGTTCCCATTAGTTATTAGTGCAAAACAGTTAATTATTTCTAAAATTGCTTTAAATTGGATTACTTTCAGAATAAGATTCTCTTCAAGTCTAAGAGTGGCACAGTCTCCCCTGTTAGGTAGGCAGTATGTGTAATAGCTGAGATTACTTAATCCATAGAAATAAGGTAATGCCCTTTTGAACACTAGCCAGTAGTTCAGTGAGTTTCTGAATGCACTTTTGAATTAATAGCTATCTTTACCAAACTGTGTAGTTTATTTAAATAAATGCTAGTTACTTTTCTTCCAAGTCTAATTAATGGAAACATCACACACAAATTCTTGTTATTTTTGTAGTTTTTAATTGGGATATTGTCACCTTTAAAACACACAAAAAATGGGTATTCTGATCATGATCACTGCCTTTGTTTCTCATTTATTTCTTATTTTATTTTCCGTTCTTCTTTCCACCAAATAGGCTTGTAGAGGGACAGAATTAGATTCTGGGATTGAGGCAGACAGTGGATCAGAAGAAACAATGTGTCAAAAAATACCTGTAGAAGCAGACTTCCTATATGCATATTCTACAGCTCCGGGTGAGAGCCTTGCAAAGAAACTTTTGTTCCTTCAATTGTATCTATATATCACTTTGTATTGATATTGTAAATTACAATTTGTAGTTGCATCCAGTCAGTGGATGACTATTTCACTTGTTCTCTTTCATGGAAATACAAAATTTTCTTCCTTCAATCTTTTTTTCTCCCCAGATTTTATTTCCTTTTGAGGTAGTTCCTACTCTCAGTTCCCAAAAAACAACAAAAAAAACCCTGAATATGCATCTTTGTCACTAGCAAACCCTCAAATATTCATCATCTATAAATTCAGGTAATCTGAGTTGTGCAAATAATTTACAGCAGGAGGTAAAAGTTATTATTAGTTCTGAGAGAACAGAACAATCAGTATCTGGAGATGCATATACAGAAGTGGTGATAAACACCAGCATGTTATTTGGCTGTCACCTCTATTTTCATTGCATCCTTTAGCAAAAGCAGTGGTAGAGCCCTTTATGTTGTCAGTTAGCAGAAATAGGCTCTAATCTTTAATTCATGCATGTAGTCCTGAAGATAGTGACACTGAAACAGATCGATTTTGCATCTTGGCCCCATCTGTAGGGTCACCTCTTCTTTGTAAATGTGTACTCTATAACGAAGTAGTAAGTGGTTAATGGCTAAGCCTGTTGTAGCAGAAGATAGTTTTCCTGCCTTTTAATTTTCCACCTACTTAAAGTCCTCCTAGATTAGAGAAGATGAGGGGATTAGAAAAATCTTTTGAGTTGGAATTTGGTGAGATTATAAAAATCTAAGCTTTGTTGGTTTGAGTTTTTATTTTAAAGTATTGATTGCTATTGGAAACAATCCATTGCTCCCCTGATTGCTATCCTGTCCTCCATCAGAGTCTGCCACGTCTGATCAATGTGACGTCTCTTTCACAGGCTATTACTCCTGGAGGAATTCAGCTGAAGGCTCCTGGTTTATTCAGTCACTGTGTAAAATGCTGAAGGAGCATGCAAGGAAACTGGAACTCATGCAGATTTTAACTCGTGTAAATCGCAGAGTGGCAGAGTACGAGTCCTGCTCAACTCGGCAGGATTTTAATGCAAAGAAACAGATTCCGTGCATTGTCTCTATGCTCACCAAAGAATTTTACTTCCCTTGCTGAAAGAATTTCACCTTGTAATTTTTCAGTTCGTGTTTTATCTGTCATTTATACACAATGTTAGTACGGAATACCACTTTTAAATCTGAATTACTGTTCACTCCTGTGTGTGGCATAATGAACTGTCTCAAAGTTAGATATCTATGTCCGTTATTAGAAGTAAAACATAGATGGTAATGTTAGAAATGCAAATGTGAGTAGCTGAGGCACAGGCAGATTAGAAAGTAATGCTCTGAGTAGCTTGAAAAATTTGGAAGAGGAGACTGAAGGAAGGTCAGATCACATACCAGACCTATTTGGTGCTACATTTCACTTTGTTGAAGGGGCAGAGAAAAGAAACAGTTCTTGTAAATAGTCTGGGTTAATCTCTTTGCCAAAAGGAAGAAGATTCAGAATGTCATATGTTTACTAATGATGATAGTAGTGTTGTCATACATTTCTTCTTGAGTTCTTAAAATTTAGGTTATAAACTAACCTAAGCTGTTTTTATAACTTTTAAGGCACAAACTCTGGAAAACAGCCATTTAATTTTTTACATACAGTTAGGAAGCATATTTAGGATACAGTCAATTTTTCTTGATCATTTTATAACTTTTTGTATGTAGTATTAGGTAAAGCAATTATATCAACATGGTAGCTGTTTCAAAATGATATTCTGCAGCTCCCTGAAGTGGAAACTGTTGGGGCATATTTTGGGCTATAAGAATCGGTGCAAAAGGAAGCCTACATTCTGAATAGTGTGCTTTCCTCTTTCTAGCCATAATTTAGAGTGGGTTTGCTTTGCACTGCTTGCATACCACAGTTAATCTGTGTGGAATCCCAGATTTGTGGTGCTGGAGAAATTTCACTTCTTAAGTCCAGTATCAGTTGAGTTAATTACAAGACTTTAGCTAAAATATGTTACCAAAAAGTAAATTTATAGCTCTTGGCTCTGAATTTTGTGGAATAGGCTTTTACAAAATTGGAAAATGTTTTCTGGATGTTTCATCTTTTGGCAGTCTTTTTAAGATCAGAGGACAACAGAGTGGTAAATGACTGTAGGGTGCTTGCAGAACAAGACTTAAAACTTTAAATTGTGTAGCTTAAACCATGTTAGCAAATTGATGTTCACTTCCAGAGGCGTTTGGGTTTTTTTAACTTAAATTAAATACTGTTACTTAAATTGTATCTTGCTTTTCTATGTGTAGTATTTGTTTAGAATCTGATAGCTTTGGTCCCTTTAAGGAAAAATTATTCTACAGCTTTTCCAATAGTCTCCAAAATAGAGCAAAACAAAATCAAAGCAAAGCTGCAATGAGTAAACAGTCATTTAGGAAGACATAGAGGTAGAGCTTGCAGAAAGAGGTAATATTCCTGTCAGTCTTTCTCTCAGGACAAGAGCTGCATTTTTACTCCAAGAAAGTAAATCCTTTCACAGTGCCAGGAAGGCTTCTGGGTATTTCCAAGAGAGGGCCGATGTTCTGGTGTTCCAGTCAGCAGGACTTGTGGATAAGAGACAGAGCGTGGTGGAGAAGGGAGAGGGAGAGGTGAGAATGTCCTTGAACGCTCATTCAGTTTGGCAGAGAGGTCTGAATAGAGCTGGTAAACTAAGCTCATGGTAATGGGGAAAATGTGATCTACAAGAGGCTGACTTTCCAGGAAGAGGCAGTGGAATGGAAGATTGTGATGAATAAACAGTTGTCTGTAAGGAGATGCTCAGTGTGTGAGGACCACACAGAAACAGAAGAAGGCCATAGTATAGAGGCACGATTGCCACTTAATCATTGCTGTAGATTTTGGCTGGATAAATCAGAGAAAATCGGAAGATTAAGGTAGAGGAGCAGAAGCAAAGTGAAAGGAGGGATTACACAATGTAAAGAAAAAGAGAAAGAAAGCTGCTTTTGAGTGAAGCTAAATGAGAAAAGTACAGGTGATTTATGCTGGCAGAAAGCACATGTCAGTTTTCAACAGACCCCACTGATAAAGGGGTGGTTGAACTATCATTTTATTGTTGGGTTATGTGATAAAAGCTCCTCTGCACACCCACAAAGGAGCACAGCAAGACAGTGACAGGAAGGGAAGCCTAAATAATACCCTGCCCTGCAGACCTACTCCCGGGCCCATCACAGGAGCCATCAGCCCATCAGTGGCCCATTCCAGAGGTGCATGGTGGCACAAGGACAGGCAGGAACCCAAATTAAGGACTGGGAGGCAGGGACACCCTGTGTGGGCCCCTGCCAGGCCTGTCCCAGGAGAGCCTCAGCCCCAGGATCCAGGATGGTGTGAAACGCATCAAGGTGAGTCAATGCAGGAGTACCTTTCATGTGAGTGTGGGATGATAAATCGTGCGATGCAGGGGAAGAGCATTTAGGGATTGCGTGGGATGTATTATGGGATGTTTAGGAAGGGAGGGAAAGGGATGGGCTTACATGATTTGGGGAGGAAAAACTGTGGGATAAACAGAGGTGTAAGGGAATAAAAAAGGCTGGTCACACGTGAGTAATGTGCTGGTCAGTACTCGTCTGGCCATGCCCTGAGCCTGATCAGTGTCGTCTGTCCTGACTTCGTACTAAATTCAGTTGCACCTGTTCCTGCATGGGGAGCTCTGTTCTGTGTGTGCATGGGGGACCAAGTGCCACCAACTGGAGCCAGACCGCAGGTCAGAGCACTTGTGTGTCCATGGCACGGTGACTGGAATGAACTAATTTATGTGCCAGCAAATGGGAGTAGCACCTTGGGTCACAGGGGTCCATGTGCCCGTGGTGCCAGCACTTGGAGCAAATGCAGACCTGGGTGCGAGCAGCCAGACTGGGGCCCTGGGCTGGTGGGCTTGGGTGCCGGTGACCAGGGAGACCCGAGTGAGTGACAGCAAGTGCCAGCTGCAGGGGTGGGACGCGGTGTCAGAGTCCTGTGCCCGTGGTGCAGCACCTGGAGCAGGTGTGGGTGTGCAAGGGAGGGTGTGAGCAGCAGGGAGGCTCCGGCCAGGCAGGAGGTGATGTGGCCTCAGAGCTGGTGGTGATGGGATATCCATGGGCAAGGCCCCAGGAGGAGCTGGCACCTGGGGGGACCAGGAGGGTCCCAGCCAGCTCCCTGCGTGTGTGTGTCTGCATGAGTGGCACATTTGGCACCAGCAATTGCAGTGGAGCTGTGGTCTCGAGGGCTCGTATGTCCAGGTGTCAGCAACTGGGGAGACTGGGGTCCAGGGACGGGGTGGGCTGAGTGTCTCCACGTGTATGTTCCCACCAGTGGACCTCCATCCTGCTCAGACTGGGGGAGCGGGGTGAGGCTGTTGACGCTGTCTGTGTTTGTGTGAGCACTCTGTCTGTTATCAGTGTGGGTGATTATACACATGGTGACGTGTATGTGTACATATGTGTTGCATACGTGTGCTCTGTGTGCTTGTGCCTACTGGGAAGGCATCAGCCTTGCTACTGGTTGGACCTGGGGACATGGAACTGCTGCAACCTTACCTCTCTTGGGCTGTCAGATATGGCCTGATATGTTTTTCTCCTAACATATGTGTCTTTTGAAAAAACAATTTGGGAAGACCAACAAAATGTGAGGGAGACAACTGTTTCTTTTTCCAGAAAGGGAACGAAATTCACGCTGCCCTGGTTTATACCAGGTAAAGCACTCTGTACTGGCTAAGCAAATCCTTACATTCAGTGGTCAGTCTGCCCTTTTCCCCTCAACAACCTCTGAGATTGCATATTCCAAATCTGCTTTTGTCAAAGGAATAAAAGGCAAGTCAAGTACTGAGGCTGGTAAGTCCCATGGAAACAGTCTGTCCTTGAGAACAGATTTACACTTTTGGTACTCGGCTCCATAACAGAAGAAAACCCGTGCAACTTACTCTATATACTGGTTAGCAAGCTCCTAGGTCCTTTTTCATACATAATGCATTCCTCTTGGAAGTATATATCATTTCTCTTGACATTTTACACTAAATTGCTATATATTCATATGCAATTCATATTTTGAACTATAATCTCACATTTATTTATTTTCTGCTAGACAGGCAGTATGCATATGAAATCACTTTTAGAAATATTAACAGCATGAATAATAATAGCTAAATTATAAGAGTAACAGTAGAGGATTTGTCTCCTCATATCCTATAAGGAATGCTTCTCATCACCAGGAAAAACTGCCTTTCAGCTGTATATTTCCTCCTGCTACTGACTGCAGGCAGCAGAACTCGGGTGTTTTAACAGGGTCAGAGGTAAACTACTGCTTCTTCACCACAGGGTGTCACTGCAGATAGCATAATAATCTCTGAAACTCACCTTAATCATAGACTCATTAAGGTTGGAAAAGA